CAGGCATGAAAATGAATTTGTGAATGTTGCACTTTTGTTCCTTCCTGTGTCGGATATTATTCTTATCAACCAATTAATTATATTATGTGACAAAATATATAAGTGGTATCTTCCAATATATAAGTAGAGGAGGAGAATTCAAGCTGCTATTAGAGATTATCAAGTGCTACGGTCATCAAATGTATGTACCAGAAAAAAATGTTATAGTTATATTACCTCTAAACAGTGAGCATGCATGTCTGTTCCACTGGAACCTAGAAACCCTCATTTACACTGGTCCTCAGGATCCCACTTTTTTATTATTTTTGTTTGTTTTGTTTTTATCCCATTTTCTTATAGGCTTAAATTTGTAAAGGCTGCTTCACTGTACATTTATCTCCACTCTGTATCTACCGCATCTACTCAGTATTTCATGTACTAGTTTATCCCAGTTATCGTGTGAACTTGTCTGCGGTCTCTGCTTTCTGACTGTGGTCCAGCTCAATATACTAATCTTCATGCAGGAATCAGGAGGCATTTAATTTCATGTATGTTGTCTAACTGTTCTGAATTGTTTCTGTGTGAAAGTCTGTGTGTGTTAATGTACTAATATTTAAAACTATTTTTTATTTCGATTGCTACTTACATTGCATGCATTCTAGTGCCCAGAGCATGAGTCTTCTTGTGTGTACGTATGAGAGAGAAAGTCTGTGTTTACCACATACCAACTACTTAGGTCAATATATGCATTTATATGTGGAATATCGCTAGTGAATTCACGTCTTTGTAGTTCAAATTTCATACGGGCATTGTACGTTTGAGTGTTTAATCTTAGACAGAGAAAGTGAGTTTGGTGAGTAAGACTAATGTTGTCTGTGTGCCAAAGGGTCAATATCATTTTTTTCCCTTGCTGTCTCGCTCTCTCGATGGGAAAGTCTTCTCATTACGATAATGGAGGGAGAGTAATTTACTTAGTGCTCATTTGAAATGACAGCCCGCTGTGTCAGCCATCTTAACTCCAGCCCTACCTTCTCCCATTTGATGCAGTGGGAGGATGATGAAGGAAAACACAGGCAAGGGGTACCTGCGAGGACAAACAAGAATACAGGGTTATAAAAGCCACCTCTTATCATGTTCTATATTTATTGTAATATTTGGTGTATTTTTTTATTTAAGTAAATTATTTGCATGATTGCATCAAGTATCAAAAGAACTTATGTGGAGTGTTTTTAGTTAGCTTAAAAAAAGAGCAAATTTTTATTTTTGTGTATTTATTCATTACGAGTGTGGAATTGCATACATATATTTGCATTTTGCCTGTGAATCTGGATCAAACATTATTTTGTATTTTTCTGTTAATCATTCTTTCATATACACTGTCCCAGTGTGCATATTCATGTTTATTATGAACATGCTGAATTTGTGAATGCTAGTCTATGCCTGTCTCATTACCTTCCTGTCAGCCTCTTTTACTAAATCTAGTGTACTTGTCTAGAACCATTCATCTAGCGTTCTGTTAACACTGTGGAAGGGATCTGACTCAGTGCTGTTAAGACAGCAGGTCTTCCAGCACAAACCAATTGGTCGGCACTAAGCATTTAACCTCTGAATATGACTGGAATAATATAGATTAGCTTTAAACAATGCCATTTAAATGGAAATAATATATTGTACTAGCTAGACAAGTGTCACGTGGGAACGGTATGATTATGCGTGTTTGTTTATGAGTCTGAATGACAGCTGCTTTTCCTTCCACTCCATGAAATCCCCTTGTGCATGCCCTTAACACCCACTCCTCTGCATTATGTGCTTTAAAAACTGACTGTTATCCTCTCTGACAATATTAGTGCTGATGTCTGTTAATAATACACATTTATGGCTATAAAAACATTATAATAGCCCCAATATAGATTTTAATGTTAGCAATAAAATACACTTAAAATTGAATATTTATTTGAATGCATTGATTCTCATGTAATGTCACTGACTTGACTGATCAAAACTGTGGCCATGAATTGACAGCAATGATCATGGGTATTGTAACTGTCTGTAATCAACTGTTTCTTCAAAGCAATATAGAGTGCCATATGCTATTTTATAGATTTTATTTTATTTTATTTATTTTTTCACATTTGCATCAACTTTAGTATGGCTTTGTAGGTTTCCTAATTTTAGACATTTAGGCAAGCAAATTAGTTGCCATTGAGGATACATGCCTCTTAAGTTTATGACAAAGATAAAATGTTATCTATAAATATTATATTGTAAATCAATATTATTCTACCCCAAATATATGTAGAACATTGCACATGGCTAAACAAGCATATTATGTTCTGTATTTGTTGCACTTTGACAACATACTTATAATAATAGCAATCACGGTTCTTGTTGTTCTTTTTTAAATTATTAATATTATTATTAATAATTTGGTCCAGACATTGCCCACTGTTAAATTAGTGCCAAACGTGTAAAGTGACAGCATCGTGCAAATCCTCTGCATGGTGTTATTTGTCATATCCGCCCTCTCTGGGCCCCATATCAGAAGCTTTCCAACGCAACCTCAATAAACAGTTACTGATTTAATTAAAGGAAAGCTGCTTGATTGTGTGGTTCTTCTCTCATTCAAAATACATCTGAACATGGATCCTAGTTGACGGTTTTGTGCACCAGAGGGCAGTATACACACATTGTTGCAAATAATCATTGTACAATGCAAGCCGATGCTTTCTTTCAATGTACTTTTAGTTGTATTCACCTAACATATTTTTTGCAATTGTTATATATATATATATATATATATATATATAAATTTATATTTTTATAAATATATAACGTATTTGTATTAACTACATACAAAATAATGTTTAAAAAACCAAGTAATTTGACAATTCAAAATACATCTGAACATGGATCCTAGTTGACGGTTTTGTGCACCAGAGGGCAGTATACACACATTGTTGCAAATAATCATTGTACAATGCAAGCCGATGCTTTCTTTCAATGTACTTTTAGTTGTATTCACCTAACATATTTTTTGCAATTGTTATATATATATATATATATATATATAAATAAAATTTTATTTTTATAAAAATATATAACGTATTTGTATTAACTACATACAAAATAATGTTTAAAAAACCAAGTAATTTGACCTCACATTTTATTTATTTTAAAACAGCGTTTTCCTCTCGGTGATCACAAAGACGAACAAGGTGGGTAAAAGCAGCAGGTTTCAGAAACAGCAAACGTGTCGCTTCAGACATCATACGATGAACTTGTTTTTTGGGGGGATAAATCAATGAACACTGAGCAGAGCATATGAAGAGAAATAGTGAACCCATTGCGCAGTTTTAACGCAGCTTTGACTGTATTGAATACTTCTTTGATGTTGACCAATAACGACAGACGGCTGTAATTTAGACCAATAAGCATCACTGAATCACTGTGTCATCTTTATGGCGCACTTATGCTACCCGTTTAGTTAAAAACGCTTTTATTATCATTTCATAATGTAAATAGTTGAAGAATAAGTATCGCGGATGTTTAAGTCAATCATTGGTACCCAAGTCAGCTAGCGGTCTGCTAACATTTCTAAAGCGCAGCCTTTGTTACTCATTTGTAAATCAAAACAATGACTTCAGCCTCTACCAAGGTAACTTAAATGTGTTGATAAATATGGTAACTTACCTAAAGCAAGATTAAATATTTACCTTGATGGTGTACTTCCATTTTTATTGCCTTCGTACTGGACATGTTTTTCATTTTGTTAATAAAGCTATTAGCTAGCATGCTAACTATCATCCTAATACCAGTGCAAAAAACACGTTTTCGGATACGCTCGTTGCTGTATTTATTTCTTGTTTGACTTATGTAGGTTGGTGAGATCTTTTCTGCAGCTGGAGCTGCATTCACAAAATTGGGAGAGCTGACGATGCAGCTGCATCCAGTGGCAGATATTAGTCCAGCAGGGTGAGACATTTACTGTCTATTTTCCGTTATGTCCTTTTATATACACACTGCATCAGGATTTGTATCATTATTTTTACACTTACAAATCTAAAGTGCGTATATTACACACACACATATACACTTTTCTAATTTTGTAAGGTATTTTGTCGAGCCCCCCCTCTTTGTAATACATATAGTCATTACAAGGAAAATATTTACATTAATGATTTTTTTTTTCTTTGCTTTTTCTCACCAGCTTTGTCTGCTTTATCCTATAATATGATACATTGTTAAGTTCAGTGTTTTAGTAATACATTAGCAAATTATTGAGACATTTCTATGTAAACGTTTTAATATGATCCCACTTGGATTTGTACTTGACATTTCTTCAGGATGTCAAGTTTGAGATTACTTGTCTTGAACACATTAAGATTCCCCATGAGCTGATTCGCTACAGAAGCAAGTCTTCAAGTCATATCCCAAGTCCTCAAAGAGTTAAAGTTAATTATATAATTAAGTGACTAATTAAATTATGATTGTGCATTAGTGATGAACACCTGCTGTTAACAATCAACATCATTGAAGAAAAGAGAAACACAAGAACTACATCTGACTTCAGCAGCAGCCTTGGATGAAATCCCCCCCCCCCCCCCCCCCAAAAAAAAACACACACACACACAATGTAAGGAGTCTGTAAATTTCAATGGTGTCTTCCTCAAGTGCAGGTGAAATTTTAACTTTGTAATGCAGTTATAATACCTTAAATCTGGAAAGGAATGCTGGTTTCTTGATCACCATTCCTTGTGTAAATTCAGAAAAGCCCCCAAAAAAATTTAAGATGTTTTAATATATTTAATATACTTTTGTATTTTTTATGGCTGTTTGTAGGCCATAAAACATCATTATTTATTGTGTAGCTTGTCAGCATCTAATTAGACATTTCTCAAACAATAGGGCACAAATGAAAACAACAGTCAAGAGGAAGATTTATGAAGATGGTGGAGCTCCTTTATCCACTGATTCACCAAAGAAGAGTACCAAAAAGGTGCTGGTTTCTATGGCTCCCCCAGCCCCACCTAAAGTCATCGCTGTGCCAACGTCTCAGGTTGTGGTGACTGCGGGTTTACAGCGGCCAACCACAGGTCCATCTAGCATTAAGTCATCAAAGACGGCAGGTAAGCATTTCTTAATGCATTCATTTGTGTTGTTCATTTATTTTACTCTTTTAGAAACAACTTATTACTTTATCTCATTCAACCTCAACAATTTTCAGCATTTTGAATAGTACAATGTAACTACTGCATTCATATAATTTTTCCTCAGATGTCACTCTCAGTGCACTGAATGACTCCGATGCCAACAGCGATCTGGTAGATATTGAGGGCTTGGGTGATAGTTCCACAACTAAAAAGCTCAATTTTGATCAAGGTAAGAAACTTTTTTTTCTCTAAATTTTGAACAAATTTTTCAGTTTCCCCCCCCCCCCTGTTCCCTGTCCTTAAGGGGAAAACAATATCTGTATTTATTTTTTTCCCAGCAGATAGTCTAAATCTCGACTCCAGTCTCATCATGAATTCCAGTGACTTGCCATTGTTATCCCGTTGAAATCTTCTGCAACATACAATCAGGAAAAGGAACTAATCATGTCACTTCAGTGCGGGGTTCAAGAAACTTGCGTTTTTTAATCTGGAGACAGTTCTTTTTTTTTCCAGGAAGACTCATTTCTAAGTTAATAGTGAAGCTAGGCATATTTTACCAATGAAGGACACAGTTTTAAGAGGCTGGCAAATTTTGCTTAATACATTTTTCTGTTCTGGGTCCAAAATGCATCATTTTAAAATAAGTTATTGTAAAGGCATTGTGTAAAACAAATTTCAACCATTATCAATAAAGTATTATGACCATTACTTTGTTTTTGGGGGAAAGTTGTGCAAAAACCTTGAAATGCTGTTGTTGAGTGTCAATGCTTTGCTTGGTACATTGTTTAAAAAAAAGAGGGGGGGGGGGGGGGGTTGTTGTTGTTTTTTTTCCTTAGATATTTTGTAATATCTTTGGTCTATTTACCTCATAATATACTTTTATTTAATTTTTTTACACAAAACAAAATATACTTCTTTTAGACTGGGGTTTAACTCAAGATGATCTTCATTCAGGCTTTTCTGGAAACCTCTTAAGAGCAATGTGGCAGTGGCATCTTCCACTACATAAATGCAGCTTATGTCTTACGTTTACTTAGGTTTTTTTAATCCGTTTTATCGATCTGATCTGAAACGGTCTGTGGGCATAGTCTAATAACTTTTGCATAATTGGGCTGTTAACAAATTGGTCATATAGTCTTAGCCCTACCAATGTTGTAACATTAAGAACAGCTAAATCAGCATTAAATCACAGATTTCGTGTTTGAAAAGAGTAAAATACAGTCCATCTGATCTCATAAACAATCCCACAGCACAATGACACTTTCTGCCTATATCTCTGTTCTTCCTCATTGGTTATAATAACCTTACTAAGTGACTGATAATCTCATGAAATCAACATAGTGTAAAATCAGATCTGTATCTGAATGGCATTTCTAAAAGCAGAACAGTGAAGATGGCACAGTTTGGTTTTCACCAGTCTATCGCAGACAGACTAAAACCACAATTTCCTGGCATTTTTTGTACTGTAAATAAAATAATTTCACTCAAATAAGGTTTTGTTATTTTTAATGTGAAGTTTTTCGCTTAGACATTTTCAGGCAAAACAAAAAGAAGGGCTTTCGTTTTAATTTTGACATTGTCGAGGTAAAATACATACAACATTTAATTTCTGGACAGCTGCTTTCCATACTGCTCGCTGAGTGTGTCTGTCTGACGGGAGCAGCACAAACCATACTGGCAACCCAGGGAGAGGGCAGCTGCCAATATTGATGTGCTGCTACTGTCAAGCACACCGAGACATCAAGTGGTCCAAGGGAGGAAAGAGGACGAAAGGAACATACAAAATATATGCAGATTAATTCAACAGCTTGAATGGTTACACTATCACAGTAAAAAGCCATGTTGATCTCCTAAAATATAGACTAACAAATACAGGATGTGAATTCCCAGCTGTCTGGGAATAACTCGCAGAAGAGGCCACCTAAGCCACACCTGGTGATTCAGTCATGAATTGTGTGTCTGGTGGTCATTTGTAAAAATATCATTTGAGTTGGAAAAAACCCTCTGCTTTGTCACATTTTTATTCACAAGTCTGAAAGACAGTTTTAACCCAATTCTAAATACATTTTCAAACAATTCAGACTGCATCTCACTCCACTTGTTACTGTATTTAAAAAAAGAGGCTTACCTCTGAAGCATTTATTACACTGTGATTTATGATACAAGCAGAACATTGGGTGTTTAATGCTGCCGTGTTAATGGAGAAACTCCCAGGCTCCCAGTGACAGCACATCATAATTTGGAATTTGCCCTTAGAACTTACAAACCATGATGTGCTGCTACAGGGCACTCTGGGCTAAATAAAAAGATGACGACAGACTCCACTGGTCCTCACTAGGATAAGATTAGGGACAAAATTAATTATGTGTAATATAGAATCGGATATTTAGTGGCAAGTTATCAAAAAATAAAATTGACAGATGAAAATTTGATGAGAATGCAATGTGAACAGATTGTAATAAAATTTAATAAAAGTTGTTTGACAGCATTACTGCCATTTCTTTAGCACAGACAATTATGAGGAAGCTCGTGGTCACCCACATCTTTTCATGCCATTCTAATAATGCCCTGTGAGACTTAATAAGTGAGTTATTGTGCACACACTGTCCTAAAATGGATGTTGAGGATGAAGACAAAATGGAGGATAATAACAAAGGGGGGAGATGAGGAGAAAAAACTAGCGCCTGTCAAAATGGCTTTATTACCATGGGAATAATTTACTGAGTGAAAAGGAAAAAAAAAAAAAACATCTAAATTATTTCTTTTTATCTCCCTCCCCCCACCACCACCACCACCAAAAAAAGCACTACATCTCTAATTTTTAAACTTCAACTTAATATTGTGAAACAGGATTAAGTATCACTATAATAAAAGTTAAAGTATCTATTAGTATTATACATACAGTATTATAAAACTGCATATTTTAATTTTCCAATAAAGTCATTTTGGCCAAGAAAAGTGTTGCATCAAATTAAAGGATTCCTGGGATTAGGAGTCAAATTTGTCCAAATGTAAAAACAAATAAGAGGACAGAAAGAAAAGAATGCTTGTACAATTCATAAAGAATCATTTTCACAACCTACATGTTTGTGTTACTTTATTTAAAAAAAATAAAACTCGCAGTCAGTAAATAATCAGTGATAAAGGGGACACATTTCGTCGAAGTTTGTTAAAAAAAATGGTCGATTACAATAATAATTATACAAATAAAGAAGTAATAATTCCTTACCTTTTATGAAAATCCTCTTCCAGTTCCCAATATTTGTAAAAAAATAATAGTTAAAGTAATAAAGGGTCCTGAGGAAAGAATTTGGGGGGAAAAATCATAATGTAGCTGTTACAAGAGTTCCAGTCACTGAGGCGCTGAAGTTTGAAAATGGCGCCAATGTTCCACTGCAGCAGCTCTACCACTGTGATGACACGGGACAGATAAAAAAATAAATATACATTTTCCTCAGTGAAAAATACATTTTTCCACTAAAGGATTTATTGCATATTGATTAACATAAGCCATTCTAGTTATTCATTGTTGAATTATTTGTTTCAATAATTTATAATTATTTTTTGATAATTTTTAATAACCGCCAGGTCGTGTCTTAGCCGCGGTGCAGGTCGGGAAGGTTTTCTTTTAAATTTCCAAACTAAAATCTTGAATGGCCACAATGTCGCCCCCTGTTGGATATTATCTGTGTATTTTCTGAGCTTGTTTTTTGCCTTGTGAATCGAAAACGCTGCTTAGTTTTACTACATTTTACAAATCTAGCAACATATTATTACGAGAAGAGTGCACAGAGCCTGATATATAATGTCCAGGACAGGGTCAGAAACCTGTGGCATATGGCACATAAAGTGACAAAAATGCACCAGATGTTTACCAGGGTCCAATAAAAAAAATTATATTTGGCCCTTTTTAATACATATGTTACCTAACCTTACTCTCTTTCTTTATCTCTGTCTAGCTATGAGTTTAATATGGGTTTAAGGTATTCGAAACAAACAGACATTCTGTGTTGTATATGGTCAAATCTAGAAAATTAACATTGCAATAAAAATCTCTTCCATATAAAACATTATGATTCTCGATATACATGATCTGTTCACTATCATGACTTTATCATATACAGTACATTAGAGTCAAATTTGTCCAAATGTAAAAACAAATAAGAGGACAGAAAGAAAAGAATGCTTGTACAATTCATAAAGAATCATTTTCACAACCTCTATAAAAGACAATTCGTTAGCAAAAGTGGCAAGTATACATTAACAAAAAATAAGTTACAAAACTACTAACTTTATAGTCCGCACTCCACAGTATATTCCAGAACATAGTATAGGTTTTAATTTTGGAGCGATAAGAGGATGATAATAGGGGGAGGTAGTTAAGAAAAATGAGAGGAACATCTGATTTTAAAAAGTGTGACTACCAGATCAAGATTATTGTATTATTCATCTGTGAAAAGCCAGTGGTGTTTGAAAGATGAGGGCATATGGCAGATCAATTGTTGTAGGTGTAAAAGGTAAATGGCAGAAAGATCTTGGCCCATCTCTACATTTCACTGTTTTTCCCTTAATTTTTTTATTATTTTGCTTGTAAAATTTTCTCTCTGTTTTTGTTTTGTTTTTTGAAAAAAGAAGCTTACACCAACAACACTAGACCAACATAAATGTGGCATCAATTAAGTAGGAAAACCACAATAATGATTGTTTTAGTGAAAAACAAATTACATTTTTAATTTGCTCAAAACTAACAACTGACAAAAGTTGAAAGGACTAAAAAAGTATTTGATATTTATAATATCAACTGTTGTGGTGGAGAAAAAGAAACACCAAGTATTTTTGAAGGACTTGACATTTTTCTTTTAAGTACACCACACCCTATGTTGTGTGATGAAGTTCTAATGTCAGCAGAAAATCAAGATTTTATTGCAAAATAATTCATTCTGACTGTTGTAACACACCAAAATACAATATTTAATTTCTGCTTAAAGATATTTAAGCCTTTATTATGAAGCTGAAGTTCACAGTAAAGAAAGAGGAAGTTTATCAGAAGCAAAATGCAGGCTAAGCTGTGACTAAAATTGTGCTACACAAAAACCCAACGTCTTTTCCAAAACGTATGATAGTGAATATTTTACATTTAATGCTTTTAGTTCTAATCAACCCTGACAAACACACTTCCATCTCATAAAGGGCAGCCTATTTAAGGTCTGAGTCAAATGATTACGTCAGCACAGTTGCAGAAGGCATTTGCTTCTGTCTACTTCTGCCCGTCGTTCATCGAGAGAGGGAGAGAAAGGGGGGGTGGGGAGTGTTAGCAAAAGAGAGGGAGAGAGAGAAAATGAGAAAAGGATAGACAGCAAATGGGTGGGAGAGGGAGACCTAAAAGAGAAGCTCACACACTTACATAGACACATACACACCCTGGCCTAACTTTGCTCACCCATTCAAACCAGGGGCCGTTTTGGTTAAGCTTTGAAACGGACACAGGAAAGATTTCACTTACCCTCGATCCCCGTTCTCCAGCATGTTAGGCAACAGGGGAGAGGAAAAGGTGCCTGGTATTCCCAAAGTAACCCGCCGGCCTCCCCTCTTCCAGTGTAGTCTGTCTCCTGCACCTGGGTAGGGGAAAGAAAATAGTAATTCCCCAACTTAATTCAATGAAGTTGTTTTTGTATTAAAAAAGCCAAGCAAAGTACTTGAAAGACTTTTTCATTCTTTCAGAAAACTCGATTAAAGTCACAAAATAGTTCGCCCACCTCAAATATTTTAATTCTTCGCAAATCTACAGCTAGAGCTACACCTAAAACAGTTTGGCTGCTTTCAAAAAAATTGTAGAAACAGAATTAAAAAGGAAAACAAACCCACACATGCACTTATCAATGGGAATCCCAAGTCTTAATTTCAGGTCAAAAATACACCCATTCGTCTGAGCTTGGGGCTCCCATTCCAGATTGAGGGGTGGGGTTCCAAGAGTCAAATAAGTGCCTAAACCTTTTGTCCACCAGCACCTATTTTCAGCCCTTAAACCCCTTTCTCTCCCTATTCACCTTCAGACCAGCAGTCCAGTGCAGTGTGCAGCCTCTGCTTAGCTGTAGCTAGTGAGGCTGCCTGAGGAACTTGGTAGGCATAAAAAGCAGGGGTTGTAGCCTTTTTCCCGGGGCATCAGTTTCTACAATTAAAATGAACATTTTCGGGGGACAGGAAAAATCCCAAAAAAAATCAGGGCATCGCCCTGGGGTCCCCTTAGAAGAGTGTGAAGTTTGAGGACCGCCGGCACTACCGTTTCGGAGGAAAAAATTAATTTCTAGGGCTTAGTGTCTGGGGCGCGTCAGTGCTAGCAGCTCTCGCTTGCTTGATTTCTTGTAGCCTTGCCAAAGCATTCACACAGCCAACGGAGAGAAAGGGAGGGAGGGGGGAACAAAAGAGGGAGAAGGCTCGGCTGCAAAGACACACAGAAAGGGGGATATGAAACTAGGAAAAGTGTTATGCGTTTGTGGTGTATTTTTTGCAATAAACTGCGGGCAAGCGTTCACCACAAACTCCAAACTCGTGCGATCACACATGGGGTGTTTCAAGTCCAAACGCATTGTCCAAAATTAAAGAAAAAACTTGACTTTATATTCTCGCCATTAGTTCATTATCCATTGAAAGAGAAAAACAAAGGAGAAACAGCAAAAACAGATGTCAACAGTTTGGAGTGCTCAAACAAAGCAAAGTTTTTACACTTTGATACTCTTTATGCTCTCAATGTGGCCGTATTTTATGCAGGGTCTCTGTGGGTTTCCGGCGTAGTACAAGGCTGGCTACAAAGAGTGGAGAATATGTTGATCTGGTTCTACAGATAGTTTTACTGAGTAGCACAACCATGGTCCAACAGTGCACACAAACCACACGCACGCACACACACACACACATAGAGCCAGACAAGACAAAGACCTCTGTGATAATTCAAGTCAAATAAGCAGAATTAAAAGAGAAATGAATGTCCAGTAATCAATACATTTCCAGACGAACATATCATGGAACGTTCCATTAAAATACAACCTTACATTTCACAAAATGTCTTTTACAGGCTAATGCAACCAACCAGGTTGAAAACCAGATTAGCTTCAAAATAATTTACTAATAATACACAGCTAATGCAAGATAACACGTTTTTTTTTTTTAAATCACCGTCATTATAAAATTCTTAAAGAATAACCTAAAAGAGCAAATTCATATAGCACTCTTTGTGAAGATCATTTTTGTACCAAAAGTATACAGTCCCTTGTCTTTTACCTTTTAATTCTACCCGTATCATCTTGTACAACCAAAGACAAAAGCACTAAGCTTCAGGAACCACACACCAAAACAGGAAGACTAAAAATACCCCGACTAAAAACGTAAAAGCCTAGCTTTTTTTTATCTGCAAATAAAGAGGCTTGAATTAAACAATGAGAAAAAAACTGACAATACTACACTACTACAAATATATACAACAGTTTTACAATATAATCATATAAACTTATATAAATCATATGGCATAAAACAGTTTGGCTGCTTTCAAAAAAATTGTAGAAACAGAATTAAAAAGGAAAACAAACCCACACATGCACTTATCAATGGGAATCCCAAGTCTTAATTTCAGGTCAAAAATACACCCATTCGTCTGAGCTTGGGGCTCCCATTCCAGATTGAGGGGTGGGGTTCCAAGAGTCAAATAAGTGCCTAAACCTTTTGTCCACCAGCACCTATTTTCAGCCCTTAAACCCCTTTCTCTCCCTATTCACCTTCAGACCAGCAGTCCAGTGCAGTGTGCAGCCTCTGCTTAGCTGTAGCTAGTGAGGCTGCCTGAGGAACTTGGTAGGCATAAAAAGCAGGGGTTGTAGCCTTTTTCCCGGGGCATCAGTTTCTACAATTAAAATGAACATTTTCGGGGGACAGGAAAAATCCCAAAAAAAATCAGGGCATCGCCCTGGGGTCCCCTTAGAAGAGTGTGAAGTTTGAGGACCGCCGGCACTACCGTTTCGGAGGAAAAAATTAATTTCTAGGGCTTAGTGTCTGGGGCGCGTCAGTGCTAGCAGCTCTCGCTTGCTTGATTTCTTGTAGCCTTGCCAAAGCATTCACACAGCCAACGGAGAGAAAGGGAGGGAGGGGGGAACAAAAGAGGGAGAAGGCTCGGCTGCAAAGACACACAGAAAGGGGGATATGAAACTAGGAAAAGTGTTATGCGTTTGTGGTGTATTTTTTGCAATAAACTGCGGGCAAGCGTTCACCACAAACTCCAAACTCGTGCGATCACACATGGGGTGTTTCAAGTCCAAACGCATTGTCCAAAATTAAAGAAAAAACTTGACTTTATATTCTCGCCATTAGTTCATTATCCATTGAAAGAGAAAAACAAAGGAGAAACAGCAAAAACAGATGTCAACAGTTTGGAGTGCTCAAACAAAGCAAAGTTTTTACACTTTGATACTCTTTATGCTCTCAATGTGGCCGTATTTTATGCAGGGTCTCTGTGGGTTTTCGGCGTAGTACAAGGCTGGCTACAAAGAGTGGAGAATATGTTGATCTGGTTCTACAGATAGTTTTACTGAGTAGCACAACCATGGTCCAACAGTGCACACAAACCACACGCACGCACACACACACACACATAGAGCCAGACAAGACAAAGACCTCTGTGATAATTCAAGTCAAATAAGCAGAATTAAAAGAGAAATGAATGTCCAGTAATCAATACATTTCCAGACGAACATATCATGGAAAGTTCCATTAAAATACAACCTTACATTTCACAAAATGTCTTTTACAGGCTAATGCAACCAACCAGGTTGAAAACCAGATTAGCTTCAAAATAATTTACTAATAATACACAGCTAATGCAAGATAACACTTTTTTTTTTTTAAATCACCGTCATTATAAAATTCTTAAAGAATAACCTAAAAGAGCAAATTCATATAGCACTCTTTGTGAAGATCATTTTTGTACCAAAAGTATACAGTCCCTTGTCTTTTACCTTTTAATTCTACCCGTATCATCTTGTACAACCAAAGACAAAAGCACTAAGCTTCAGGAACCACACACCAAAACAGGAAGACTAAAAATACCCCGACTAAAAACGTAAAAGCCTAGCTTTTTTTTATCTGCAAATAAAGAGGCTTGAATTAAACAATGAGAAAAAAACTGACAATACTACACTACTACAAATATATACAACAGTTTTACAATATAATCACTAGAGGCACCGAGAAATCATCGTCTTTGAAAGCTAACATATGACAAAGACTAGAAGACTACTTTATTCGGTTTGCTTTATGCTGTCAATATATTCAAAGCATCGCTTAAGTTGTACTAAGTTGTTTGAACGTTATCCAGCGGGTTCCAACACGTTTTGGAGGTAGTCTGCTTAACTATAGTAAGGAAGTAACGCTATGTTTGTTTAGTTTTTTTCTTTAAAACACAAAAGAAAAGTGCTGAAACAGCTTACCATAAACAACATATATAAAATTACCAACGTGATTCTACAAAACATGTTTTGTTAAAGTACCATTACTTTGTATTTACAGCTACATGTTTGTGTTACTTTATTTAAAAAAAATAAAACTCGCAGTCAGTAAATAATCAGTGATAAAGGGGACACATTTCGTCGAAGTTTGTTAAAAAAAATGGTCGATTACAATAATAATTATACAAATAAAGAAGTAATAATTCCTTACCTTTTATGAAAATCCTCTTCCAGTTCCCAATATTTGTAAAAATAATAGTTAAAGTAATAAAGGGTCCTGAGGAAAGAATTTGGGGGGAAAAATCATAATGTAGCTGTTACAAGAGTTCCAGTCACTGAGGCGCTGAAGTTTGAAAATGGCGCCAATGTTCCACTGCAGCAGCTCTACCACTGTGATGACACGGGACAGATAAAAAAATAAATATACATTTTCCTCAGTGAAAAATACATTTTTCCACTAAAGGATTTATTGCATATTGATTAACATAAGCCATTCTAGTTATTCATTGTTGAATTATTTGTTTCAATAATTTATAATTATTTTTTGATAATTTTTAATAACCGCCAGGTCGTGTCTTAGCCGCGGTGCAGGTCGGGAAGGTTTTCTTTTAAATTTCCAAACTAAAATCTTGAATGGCCACAATGTCGCCCCCTGTTGGATATTATCTGTGTATTTTCTGAGCTTGTTTTTTGCCTTGTGAATCGAAAACGCTGCTTAGTTTTACTACATTTTACAAATCTAGCAACATATTATTACGAGAAGAGTGCACAGAGCCTGATATATAATGTCCAGGACAGGGTCAGAAACCTGTGGCATATGGCACATAAAGTGACAAAAATGCACCAGATGTTTACCAGGGTCCAATAAAAAAAATTATATTTGGCCCTTTTTAATACATATGTTACCTAACCTTACTCTCTTTCTTTATCTCTGTCTAGCTATGAGTTTAATATGGGTTTAAGGTATTCGAAACAAACAGACATTCTGTGTTGTATATGGTCAAATCTAGAAAATTAACATTGCAATAAAAATCTCTTCCATATAAAACATTATGATTCTCGATATACATGATCTGTTCACTATCATGACTTTATCATATACAGTACATTATCATTTACTGCAAAAGCAAATTGTAGGCCTACCAAGATCTTGTAACAGAAAGAGTTACATTATTATGCCGACGAGGTATTTCATCTATAACATGCATTCTTCCACTACTACCATACAGAAATGTTTACGTTTAGACAGGCTCCTTTGGTTCAGAAAATCTTGCAACAGGACAGCTGATCATTAACCAATGTTATACCAAGTATTAATAACAGTCTATGAAGCTGAGGTCTTTCGTGGATCATCTGGTTTGAACTTATTTTAGAAAGACGGAAGGACAAAGGGTAGGCTGCTTGTGCTGTTCTACTGATGTACTCATGTCCAGTGTACTTAGAAAGTAAAAAATAAAGCCACTTGGAAAAAGGTCATTGTAAGTATGTTATTAAGTGAATGAATGATATAAACATGTATTTAGAAATGATCAGCATTTTCTAATATGTGTAATGTTCCTTTACCTCATACTTATAAAGAAATATAATTTAAACAAGATGCCTAAACTGACACCTTGACCCTTAAGTAGTTTATTCTACAACAAATTTAGATTCTGTAGTCACACAAAGACATACCAATATGGAATAGTGCTTAATAATATATAGAGACTTCAAAAGATCACAGCCATAATTTGATTTTCATTTAAACAGGTTCAGAAAATGTTTATTAGAACAGTTTAATCATTCACAACATGACATATTAATCCATGACAGCGCTAAACATAGTTCCTGCACAAAATGTGTCCACCCTGAGGTATGCCAACAACTGAAAACATAAGACACCTTATAAATGAATTTATTATTCTATATATGTGTGTGATTTACAATAACTAATTAACCATCCAAGCAATCAACAAGTAAAACAATCTTTAAGGAGTCTTGAAAAGACAAAACGACAAGATCCTCCATGTTTAATGTGAACACACAGAGTTATACAAATACAGAGAATATAACAAAAACATCCGTTTGTTTCAAATGAATCCCATACGAAGGCAGGTCCACCAGGTTCACTTGTTGATGTCCTGCACTGTCACATGTTTACATGCTCATTACTTAAGGCAGACCTCTGTGTGTATTGTTTTTATCTGTTGGCCCGTTATCCTTGTGGTTCCTTATCTCCTCAACTTCATTCTCCTCTTCCTCTCCTTTTCCCAGCATTCTAAGTGGCCATAGCAGGCCATGCTGGGCATGTTCAGGTTTTTGGCAACAGGGCCCGTTTTTCTCTTTAGTAAGAAAGTAAAGCAGTGCATTCAGCCAGGCGTTGAACGAGGCCAGCGGCCGAGTGATTTTATAACATATGGAAACCATGCGCATGGTGTGGCACTGCACCCGACTCGTCACTTTCAGCAGTAGGAAAATGGTGCGAGTGACATGGAAGGGGAAGAAGCAAAGGGCAAAGAGGAGAGTGATGGTAATTATGGTCTTGATGGACTTGCGCCGTCTGTTGACATAAGGCGATTGAGCCCCCAAGATGATTGACATGCCCTCTCCCCCAATTCCTGCGACACTTTCACAGCCCGTCCCACTTCTGACTCTTTGAGGAGGAGGTTGAGAGTGCAGCGTCCGAAATATTGTTAAAACTACACGCGAGTAGCACCAGGCAATGATGCTGAACGGCACAAAAAAGCCCAAGAAATGAAGCGTGACCCCGTAAGGGATGTAATCATGGAACTCTTCATCAATTGCATCATCCCAGCAATTAATGAACATCTCGCTCGAGCCCTTACCTTCACGTGGAAGATTCTGTGTCTTTGCAAAACGGAAAATTGGGCACGTTAGTGCAAAAACGGCAATCCACACCAGAACGCAAGTCCCCTTGACTGCTCGTTTGGTCTCCAAGGTGATGGTCTTCATAGGGTGGCAGATGCCCAGGTAGCGATGCACTGAGATGCAAGTGAGGAAGAAGATGCTGCAGTAGAGGTTGAAGTAGAAGAGGAAACGCACTAGACGGCACATGAAGTCTCCAAACACCCAGTCATCCCGCATGACATAACTGGCCACCAAAAATGGCAGGGATAAACCATACATGAAGTCTGTTGTGGCTAGGTTCACCATGTAAATCAGGGACGCGTTCCAGTGCCTGGTGTGTCGAAAGGAACGGTAGAGAACCACAAAGTTAAGGGTTATACTGAAGACAAAGGTAAAGGAGTAGCAAATGGGCAGGAAGATGTACTTGTAGGACTCGTCAATATTGCAGGAGCCAGTAACTGAAGAGTTGTGTGAGGAGGAAAGCTGGGCATCTGCCCCCTTCTCTGTTTCAAACAAAACAGTAGGCGCACTTGTCGTCATTGTAGGCTAGTTCTTAATCGGATTCTTAGGGAGCGTCCTGGTTTCATCCCCCCATTTTTATGCTTCTGAAACCACGTCTTCTCCAACGAACAAGTTTGTTTGAGTTTCCAGCGATCTCCTCCTTGTGGTCTAGTTTAACATCTATGAGAGATACATTGGTGTTAGGATGCACAAAAAAGTACCAGCTTGCCAAAACCATTAAAAGCAGTCGTCATCCCACACAAGCCCTCCCCGCATTCCCCCTTTCTCTTTCACAACCCCTGGTACTGTTTGCGCATAGGTATATATGCTGCTGATTCAGACCCTTTTCACTTCATTAACCCATCAAACAGTAACCACACTTCCCCTCTATGTTCTATTTTATCTTACCCACCCCTCACCCCGTTCCTCACACCAGAACTCTCTACCCCATCCCTCTTCCTCGAAACAAATATAAATGATACGTAATTGCCAGCTTTAGAAACTTTCAGCCTTTGTTAAACTACCCCTAGACTCCCTCTGGCTCCATTTGCACATTATACATCCTTTGGGATTCAATGGATGTCATGGCTATCCCCACCTCCCGGTAAAGTTAGCACACAGCTGACTGAGCTCGTGGTGAATTGCTTATTGCCTACCACTTCTCAGACATATAAGACACTATGTAAATAAATCAGTGAGTACCTGAAGGTCACTAAATGACATTAAGGTAGTCTGCTTTGGCTAAATAAATAACAAGGTCCTTACTTGGGGAATCAGACAACACCATAAACAGTGCAAACAACCCTTCAGATTACCCACATATTGCAAGAGTTCACTGCCCTGCGTAGCTGTAAACTTATTTAACAGTGAGACTAAAAAGACACGAATATTTATAGACAAGATACACATTAACATTTTTCTGGGTAAGCTAAATATGAGTTTTGTAACTGTAAAACACCATTGACATACGCAAGGACAGCGAAAAACACCTATTACATCTGGTAATGAGCGGTTAAAAATCTTTCACTTACCTATTTAGTAGAGCGATAAAGTCCTTTTTAGAAAAAACAAAGAATCTCAGTATTAAATAAAACCTGAGGAACACCTCTATTCCAATACAGTTACAGCTAATTCAACTATCAAGAAGAGCAAATCGAAGAAGATCTGGATGCAGTGATGGCTTTGTCTAGTCATTCAGTCCTGAATCTTTCCCTTTCACATCAGTTCCTTGAAGTATTTTGACCATTCTCTCAATCCAACCCTCCTTGGTCATCTCTTGCTCCATGATCTGTCCCTCCCTCTTTCTTCTTTCCTCTATTAGTGCTGAGCTGGCCTTTTGATGACACAAATTCTGGCTAGGCAAAATACACACAGATACACACAGTAGAAGAGCAATATTATACCATTGCAACAAAACAGAACACATATACAATCACACTGAATTCCCTTTTATTCCACAAAATAATATTTAAGTATTTCACAAACAGTGACACAAACAATCCAGTTATGAGTTGCTTGGCAATGTATGTACGCACACATAGCATTTAATGAGCCATGTCTTAACATGTGAGGCTTGGCATAATTGGCTTTGGCACTAAGCAAATTAGAGTAATATTGAGCAAAAGAGCATGTCATGACATACTGTATATTGTCTTTTACCGCTTTGTTGCTTTATCAGTTAGATCTTGCAACTGTAAGAGTGTAAACTGCAGTTTTAAATCCTCATCGGTGCCTTAAAAATGTCAAGAAAAATTCTATAATGAAAAAGTCTTTTTCAAGTGATGAAGGAGTGCTGTAGCTTTTCACAGTAAAGTCAATTAGTTCAGGCAGCTCACGGACAGTCTTGTAAAGGAAGGGTCCCTTCATTTTGTTCCTTAGTGGAAATACTTTTTTTTTGACTCATCAGAGTGATGTCACATCTTGTACCTCCAGCAGCATGGCGTCTTGCTCTGTTCTCAGCTGGTCCCTTGTGAGAAGTCGACCCACCAGCTCTGAACTGAGGTCTACACACATACACAGACTTACTCAATTATTCACAACAGACATCATCAATATGTAAAATACGCAATATGTAAAATAATATTGAAGCTGCATCCCAAATTACGCACTATACACTATGCACTCATACACTATGTACTTATGCACTATGTACTCAACCATGTATAGTATAAATTATATAAGGTTATTTTGTCATTCATAATCGGAATCTGATAGCCCCTCCCCCTTCGGTACGTAATTAAAGCTGTGACAGTTGAGTGCATGAAGTGTCCAACATTCCACACTTTTTCAGTTATTTAAGTGCATCATCCGGGTATTTAAAGTGCACTTTTTCTTTTGGGAATTTTCAGTGTGAACGCACTAATCGCACTATTTATACTACAAAACGTCACAGAATAGTGCATAAGTATGCGATTTGGGACACACCTTTAGGCTTACCATGAATGTCTTTGCTTAGTGAGGTCCTCAGCGCTTTCAACTTCTTCAAGCTGAAATTCTTCAAGTCATTTTGTTCATAGTGCTTCCTTTCTCTGACAGCCTCACTGGGAGGTATAGTCTGTGATTGGGGTCAGTGAAGTACAATTATGACTTTGCATTTATACACAAACATTAAAATGTTTAGGGATGGTGAGATTTTAAAATGTTTTTGAAAGTCTCTTATGCTCACTAAGGCTGTGTTTATTTGATCATAAACAGTAAAAAACAGTATTATGTTGAAATATTATTATTTTCTATTTGTACTTATTGTAAAATGTATTTTATTCCTTCCTGTGATGGCAAAGCTGAATTATCAGCAGCCATTAGTGTCACATAAACCTTCAGAATTCTATGCTGATTGGTGCACAAAAAACATTATTATTATTATTATTATCAATGTTGAAAACCCATGTGCTGCTAAATACTGTTGTGGAAAATGTGATTATTTTTTGTTCTGGATTCTTTGCTGAATATTCAAAAGAACAGCATTTATTTGAAAAAGATTTTTTGTATAAATGTAAAAGTCTTTACTAACAGCTTTGATCAAATTAATGCATCCTTGCTGAATAAAAGTATTAATTTCTTTAAAAAAAAAACCTTACTGACCCCAAATATTTGAATGGTAGTGTACAGAACATGGCATCTACATAACTAATAGAAAATAATGCCTAACTATTTGAATAAGTGTGCTTCTGGAAGTTACCAAACACATAAAATAAAATACACACTTAAGACACTACACCATGAGTATGTGCTCTTTTCTAACCTGTTTGTGCTCCAATCTCAATTTATGTCTGAGTACACTCAGTGCAGCTCTGACATCATTCTTGAACCCTCTTGATTTGGTTTTCTTAGTCGATGCAGAGCTTGAACCATGTTCTTTCTCTAACCTCTGATTGCTGCCACTCTTACTGGACTGTTTTGCCACCTGAAAAGGTAACAAAGAGCATAAAAATTATTATTAATCTTACCAAGTAAATCCCATCAATAACAGACATGAACAAAAATATGTCTTAAATATCACATTGTTCACATTACAGTATGTTGACACTCGTGCCGATTAACTGTGAAAATGTCAATATTGCAATTTATTTTACCTCGTTCTTTGCCTCCATTTCCTCTTCTTCCTCTTCACTTTCACTGTTGTTGATGAAGCAAAGCTGTAGATTCATCTGGCTCTGAAGCCTATAATAATAAAGCACTACTGCTATAGATTTTATTCAAATTTCGAGGAAGTGAATAGAAAAGTAGTTGAGATTTATGAAATCTGTGTGACCTTGTTGTCAGAGCAGTCAGACGACTGTTGCAATCGTCCTCCATGTCCTCATAGGTTCCTCTGTGACTGCTCAGCCCTCTGATTTCTGGCCAGTCTACTGTCAACCTGTCTAAGTCCTGCAGAAAAACATCCCAGTATAAATTCATGGTGGCTGTTATGGTAGATAAATAGTCAAGGAGTATAGTAAAAAGAACTGTAGCTCTTGCCAATCCAAAACATGAAGTGTCATTTGTTTTTTTATCTTTTACCGTTTAATGCACATTACTATCTTTACTCTCATTCAGACCTTTTCCCTCTGTCTTCGCTCCTCTTGTTGCTTCTCAAGTTCGGCAATACGGAGACTCAGATCCTCCCAGTGCATGATGGGTAAGCCCAGGTCATCATCAGGGTATCCCTCTTGCCATAATAAGGCTGCCCCCTCTGCATCCTCCTCTGTCTCATCACTTTCTTTTTCATCTCCTCTCTCCCGCTCTTTTTCTTTTTCTCCATTCATTCTCAAGGTACCTAACAGAATAAGAGTGAGGATCAAGAAGACAATATATTTTAGGGGAAAACAATAAAAAAAATCAAATAAATAACAATTCTATAACACCAAATGTTTTTACAGGAAAGGACATGACATGAATTTGTGCTCTGCATTTAACCCATCCAAGTGCACACACACACATGCTGTGGTGCCCGGGGAGCAGTTGGGGTTTTCGGGGCCTTGCTCAAGGGTCTCACCTCAGTCGTGGTATTGAAAAAAAAATCAAATAAATAACAATTCTATAACACCAAATGTTTTTACAGGAAAGGACATGACATGAATTTGTGCTCTGCATTTAACCCATCCAAGTGCACACACACACACACACACATGCTGTGGTGCCCGGGGAGCAGTTGGGGTTTTCGGTGCCTTGCTCAAGGGTCTCACCTCAGTCGTGGTATTGAGGGTGGTGAGAGCACTGGTAATTCACTCCCCCCACTGACAATCCCTGCCAGACCTGAGACTCAAACCCCGCAACCTTAGGGTTACAAGTCAGACTCTCTAACCATTAGGCCACAACTGCCATATACGGCAAACTCTGTTTAACATTTACTCCTTAAAATGAATTAGTATCTATAGTACTCACTCAGTACTATAAAGTACTTTTTAATTATAGTATGTTATTATACTATATAGTACTTTTTAATTACTAGAAAATAATCCAATAGTGTCCAGTACCTGTTTCCCTTACAAGAATATTATTCAATGATACGCTAGTACATACTAGCATTTATTCATTTGCTACTTGTAGCCTACCAGTAGTGACTAATTATTCAATTGTTAACAAATTGCACATTCTTCCTATTCAATTCCCATTAAATTCTATAGGATGCTGTGGTTCATATATCACTCCAACAATATATTCTGGTACCTTTTTAGTATTTATTTATTAAATACTATAGTACTTATTCTAGTAACTTTTAACAATTCAAAATAGTTACCAATATCTACAGTTTCTTAGTTTTAACTGAACAGACACTATCCCTGAACATTAGACACTAGTGTGTATTTCAATTCAAGTAACATTTTACTTAGTAAAACAGCTTCTCTTGCAACATCAGTGTTTTGTTTGTCTTTCACAGAATATGGACGAAACATTTCAGCATTTTTCCCCTAGAAACAACATCCAGAACACGAAGAGCCATCTACCGTACTACCACAGAAACTGCATTGTCCCAAAATCTCATGAAAAATACTACTTTGGAAAGTATCATAAATCATAATGAGGAATATATTTCCATATTTTACGTAATTTATACATTCCCATTATTAAAGGGCTCTTCAATGTAGCCGTGTGCTATCACGTTTGGCCAGGTATTGCGCTGACACGATGTATCCTAAAACTGCTGTGTTGCTTCGTTTTTAGAGGTATACTTACTTTTTGGTGGAATGTGTTTGTAAATTATGCCTTGCTGTTCAACAAGTCAAAAATAATAAATTTCCATAGTTTTCTTTGACTTTAAATCTTGTTTTCCTCAGTGCTGTCCCGTTACGCACACTCCTCGTCTTCGTTATCCTTTTCACAATTTTTCATCCATCGAGATGAATTGTCTTCATATTTTCCCCTCCTTACACTTCGTTCTTTAGAGGGTTATATCTATTGATTTTCACCTGTTTAGTCAATACAACTTGTTGTTCCTTAAAAATGTCTCAACGCAGAGAGCCAAAAACTAAAGGAATTTGGCGACGTTTTGTTGTGGGCAGAGAACGTGAAGGGAGGAGAATGAGCAAAGAGTCATAAAAGTATCCACTTCAGGTGTCCAGTTTCAGCATTTGCAATCATTACGAAACATTAGTGAATATACATCCTTTTTAAAAAAATCCCAGTAGATTGTAGTCTAGAACTCCTAATAGATAGCTGCACAAAAAAAGTGTGTTTCTAAGATGAAAGTAAACCGTTTGGGTTTAGGTGTCAAATGTCAACAAGTCTAAACATGCCCAATTTATGAAGGCAAAATTGTAACCGTCAGTGAACTGCTGGGTTTAGATTGTGTTTACAGAACATTTAGATAAACCCTCGGTTGAGGACAAGACATCCTTTTAAACTTCATAATTCGAGGGAAATAAACTTGAAATGCTTAAAAACCGACCAAACGTGACTGCTTTTATATTTCCTCATCTTAAATGGTTTAATAAAGCGAGTAAAAGATGGTTGGAATGGATGTGGATAGTCAAAATAGACAGTCGGTGAGCTCTGAATATTAGCGAAGTGCATAAAGTTTGTTTCAAACTCTTATGCCGTTGCACTCGGCAGTCACTCTACTTCCGCTTCCTCTATAAAGTCAGCTGATTTAATCGGGTGACTGTTGACACCGATCTTACCGAGGCTAGAAAACTTAAACAAAAGTAACTTTTAAAGTTGAAATGACAGTCGTATAAAGTTTATTTTATTTGAAACGGTCCTCTGGCATCTCCGAGTAACTGAAAACTGACAAGCTTCTATAATAGAATGGCTTCTTTGCTTTTCTGCGGTCCTAAACTGGCAGCATGTGGACTGGTCCTGAGCATTTGGGGTGTCATTATGCTGGTAAATTCAATATTCTCTATTGTGTCACTATTCTTGTGTTTTCTATGCATAGTAAGTCCATGCTGAAGGTCACTAAAATACATTAAGCATATCTTAATTTTTTGGGGACTGTAGTAAGTTGCCTTCACACATAATGTCAACAACAATGCAAGGTTCCTATTGTCCTGGAAAACTTAGACATGTCAGGGAATTGTAAAAGTTTGATTCACAGGCCTGTAAAAGTGATGGCAATTTCTAGTCAATATTATTTTAGCTAAAGTATTTATTTAGCTAGAAATTGCTCTTTGTGAGGGCTATGTTTATAAAAAAATATTGATATTGAAAATCCTTACCCATTTGCTACAAACTACTTGAAAAATCAAGTAGTACAACTTAAACATAAAGGTGTGGGGGCCCTGAATATGAAAACTAGCAGACAGTGCCAGTGAAGGGAGAACGTGTACAGCCCTACATGATGTCTTATTCCTCTTAGGCAATGCTGGGGATTTTTTTCACCACACATTCAGCTGTGCTCATAGAGGATGTACCTTTCACAGAGAAAGACATGGAGGACGGGTGAGTTCCTTTTGCCGTTTACTCATTTAATCACACTGGAAAATAAGTCTGTCTAGCATAGGGAATGTCACATATTCTCAAGACTTTATGATAGAAGCTCTGACAGTTTTTTTTTTTCCTCTCCCCTCAGCCTGTCGAAAAATGTAGTCCAGTAGCCTTGTCGAAGGGGTTTTGGCTTTTTTCTAACACACTATTCTTTTCTCTCATTTCAGGCCGACGGCACTGCAAAACATCTATAAATTGTACAACCAAGTTGGATACAATTGCTTCATTGCAGCAGCAATCTACGTTGGCATTGGATTCCTGTCATTTTGTCAAATTCGCCTGAACAAGCGCAAGGAATATCTGGTGCATTAGTACCACTGAGTGATTGGAGTATATCTCTACCTCTAAACTCCTTTGTTGTCTTTGTATGTAGTAATGCTGCCTTTGCCTTAAAATGAAGCCTTAAATGAGTGTAGATATTTAAGATTGAATGATTCTCTATTTTACTGTGCTTTTCTTTATTGCCTTTCTATCTTGAAGCCTATCATAAAATATGTGTGCGCTTATCCATTATGATTATGTGGTGCCTCCCTAATTTGTCTTTTATAGTCCTCTTTTGATCAGTAGACCAACCAAACGTAAATAAATGATTTAATTGTGATTTTATTTATACTTAAATACCTATCATATATTCAGTCTCATTAAATAAATGTTGAATGGAATTTTACATGGTCACATTGGTTCTGTTGTCACAATAAATGACTCAAGAGTATGTCACTATAGGAATAGATAAGTGTAGACCTTGTCTCTGTCAACATGGTTCTAAAATATTAGGTGAATAACTAGAAACTCTAAACAAATCCTCTCATGTGTAAGTACTGAAGGTTAAATGGTATTAAAAAATTAAATATGAAATAACGAAACAGACATTATTTGCTATGGAAAGTAGCTGTACAATGCATGTTTTTTTAATACAGCTATTGGTAAAAGTATAGTAGTAATGCATGTTTCATTGTCCTCATCTGGAAGAAGAACGGGCTATATATGCAGTACATATGAAGTGCATATTGTAAGGCTGATGACAAGTATTAAACAATAGTTCAGCACCACTCAAAACAGTGACTTCTGACATAAAGTTGATTTTTTAATGTTTTAACTATTTTCAGAAGAAACCAAAAAATAATACTGTTCATGAAAAACTTAATGCATTAATTCTTTAAAAAGTGTTACAGACTAAACAAATTACATAATTATGTCACAGTATTTCTGCTGTCATTCCCGAGAAAGGCCTAGGTTTCAGCTATAGCTAGGAAAGGCACTTTAGGTGTAATTTGAATGTGTGCTAACTTTAAGATTTAGCTGACCTACTCGGGAAAATTCTCACAGATGCACATACACATACATTTAGAATGAGAGTTTTCTTTAAATGGTGATGCTATTTTCCATACGGCTTGGGCACAGATAGAGGTACTGCAGCTCCAGTCCCTCATTCTGAGCTATTATCTGCTCCTCCAGTTCTTTCAGCTCCTTTCTGAATTTATCAATCACCCTCAAAGCAGCAGGCTCAGTAAAGTACTGTTCCACATACTGGCCCATTGGGATCTGAAGGAAAGAGAGGAAACCGAACTGTTAAAGTCATCATTGTGATAATCTCTTAAAGGCTAATTAATCTTAATGCTTCATGGAAAGACATTTCTTTTGGATGGATATAGTCTGATGTTACTTATAAATATGGATTATATTGTACTTATACGAGCATAAATAATATAAAAGCACACTTGTGACGGCCTGTGCTATTGACCCACCGCATCCGGCTGTGCTCTGCCCAAATGCCATGTGATGGCCATCTGCACACAGGACTGGCTGATATCAGGGAGGGTGTCCATGATCATGCCCATGGTGACAGCATCCTTGTCTGTTGGTGGAGGGTGCCGCATGGTGCAGGGTGTATTGGGAACCCATGCACACCAATCAAACTACAGTACAGAGAGGGAGAGCAACAGTGATCACAATAAAGCTATGTAATGCCTTGTAAACTGATTTTTAGGTAACACACTTCATGTCTGGTAACCTGCATTCAGTATAGTGAAAAATAATAATGTCTTTAAAGTGTATTTTTAGATTTGATAATATGTGATGTGTTAGTTACCTGTCCATTGTTGGTGGCAGCATGTTGTGCTGTGCTGGTAAAGATCACCACGCTTAACAGTGTGATGAGTTCTTCTTTTGTCTTCAGCTCACTGGCTAGGCCTGACATGCAAGAAACATGAATAGTTACTCCTAAGAGTCCATTTCAAGCTCATTCTCGTTCTTTTTTCTCTATATTCAGTTCCATCACACAAAAGCACAAGGCAAACAGCTCATGTAGTTCATTGTGTTGAGACACATACTATGGACATGTTTCTTCCCCTAGTGACCACAAGGGGTCACTGTATTATAATTCTTTATGTGCTTTATTACTTCCTTTCCTGTTTTATTTTGACTTAATGGTGTATCTGGCCTGCAGCATGTGTATTTATCCCACTGATGTCTTTTGACCTTTTTAAAATGCAATATCGGTGACCTGTATTTGTGTATTGTATTGGATGATTTATATTACCATCCAAAATGTTAGGGTTGGCAAGATTGATAAAAATATTTTTTGAAAAAAGTCTCCTGTGCCCCCCAAAATAGTCTCTTATGCTACACTTATTTGATCAAAAATACAGTAATATTGTGAAATATTATTGCAATTTCAAAATAACTGTTTTCTATTTGTATATATATTTTAAATTAAATGTATTCATGTGATGGCAAAGCTGAATTTTCAACAGCCATTACTTTGCTCTACACAGTGTCACATGATCCTTCAAAATGATTTGATGCTCAAGGGACACTTATAACTGTCCATTTTTAAAAACAGTTGTGCTGCTTAATATTTTATGTGGAAACCGAGATACGTTTTTTCAGGATTCTTTAATTAAAAATGTAAAAGGACAGCATTTATTTGAAACAGAAATCATTTGTAACATTATAAATTTCTTTACTTTCACTTTTGCTCAATTTAATGCATCCTTCAAAATAAACGTATTAATTTCTTTTAAAAACAAGGTACTGACCACAACCTTTCAAACGGTAGTGTATATTGTTAAGTAGGGGTGTGAATCGGCACTGGTTTCACGATTCAATTCGATTATGATTATCATGTCAACGATTCGATTCAGTTCGATATCACGATGCATCATGATTATATCAAATTTATTTTGTGCATTTTTATTAAATTATATAAGCAGGCACCTTTTTAAAATAATTACGTTAATTCATTAATTATGGTTAAGAATTAAACAAAGTAAATATATCTTCAAAACATACAAGAAAATATAAAGTAATAAAGGGGGGGGGAAGACAATTACAAGTGATAAACAAAAAGCAGTGCTTTAAGTATTCGAAAGTTTACAGACAATCATAGTTATGGGTTTTTTATTTTTTTATGGTCTATTACTGCATCGATGCAGAATTGTCCACGTCCGCATCGCGATGCAATGATTAATTTCGACACCCCTATTGTTAAGCCTAAATAAATACACTGCACAGGGTTATGCACAGGTTCCTTTATCCACTACAGGACATTTGTGAGTCCAGTGATGCAGTCATGTATATTTATATCTTACCAAAATGAGGCACATCCACAAAGCCCTCCACAGCCACATCATTAATCCACGCCTGAAGTTCTGAGTCCTGTTCAACTTCACTATCACTCTTGTAGTACAGGGAAACTATTCCTGAAACAAAACTAAGAGAAAAAAAGAGCGTTTAAGGAACGTCTAGGTTACTTGTGTAACCCTCGTTCCCTGAAGGAGGGAACGGAGACGTTACATCAGTGACTGACGAATTGGGATCTCACCCGAGAGCCCAATCCCCTTCGAGTGTAAACTAAACAAGCCAATGACAGTTGGCAGTTGGCAATGACAGTTTTTCGCTGAGGAGCCGAGACTACGTGCCCCAGCCGTACAGCGGTGGTACAGCAACTGTGGCAAAGGAACGGACACAAGTAACCTAGACGTT